AAGAGTTAAAAAACTTCAATATATGACTTGCCTACATGGTTGGCTTTTACATTGTCTAAATATCAATCAGACTGATGTTGAATTACTACTGAGCACGAAAGAATATCCGTTATTATAACTTGAGATAAATTCGGATTTACTATTTTTGCCTTATTTTTACTTATTGGTTTTTTCTTTGGACGTTTTATCTGTGGTTCAGAGGAATATCATAATTAGAATCGTTAGAATTCCCAATCACTTGTATTTCATATGTACCTACAATATCCGATTTTATAGATTCTTCACAAATAATATTATCATCAATATCTTCAAGGAATACAATAATATACCAGCAAACGAATGGGAAAGATACCTGACGGAACTGTTTAAAGCAAAGGAAAATAATAATCAACACAATAACGTACCTGAACTAAGAGACGAAATAGAAATCAGTTTTCACGAAGTAGAAATAGTCATAAATTCACTCAAAAATAGAAAGTCACCAGGACCAGACGGAATAACAAACGAGCTTCTAAAATACGGATGAGAAAGTTTAAGCCTAGAGATGACAAAACTTATACAAAAACTAATATTGCACTGCAAGATACCAGACGCATGGAGAAACAGCATAATGATACCAATGGTCAAGAAAGGAGATAAAGAAGACCCCAACATTTATAGAGGTATAAATCTACTGAACACCGCACTTAAGCTTACCACAAAAGTCCTAACCAACAAAATCAATAAACTAACAACTTTATCAGATGAACAACAAGGATTCAGATCCGGATGATCCTGCGTAGACGCCGTATTTGTACTAAGACAAATCACAGAAAAGGCCATCATATCTATGTTTTATAGACCTGACAAAGGCTTTCGATCGTATCCAAGTCGCAGACGTCTTACACCTACTGTATAAAAGGAACATACCAATCAATATTATACAAACCATCGAAAGCATCTACCTCCATAATCCAATACAAGCAAAGATAAATGGAAAACTAACACAGTGTATACCGGTACAAAGCGGAGACAGGGTGACTTGTTAAGCCCACTTCTCTTTAATATATTAATGGACGAAATAATACAAGTAGTACGTAAAAGTCATGGCTACAGAATTGGGAACAAAGAAATCCAAATATTAGGTTATGCAGACGACGCCGCATTAATCGCCGAGACAGAAGATGAGCTCTAAAGATTAACACATATCTTCAATACAACAGTTAAGAAATACCATATGATAATATCAGCGGAAAAATACAAATGTATGACATTTAAATACCCACTACGGTGTAAAATCGAAATTGATGGGAAAATAATAAAGCCGGAAGCAAGGGTTAGATATCTGGGAATAGATATAACTAGTTACGGAGATGTTGAAGGAGAAGTACGACAGCAAAGCTTAAAAGAAGGTAAAGCGGCGGGTTCTCTTAATGACACAATCTGGAAGAACAAACACCTAAGACAAGACAAAAACAAGAATCTATAAAGCAGGAATTAGACCTATATACACGGCTGAGACAAGACCTGACACATCTAAAACGAGACGACTGCTAGAAACAACAGAGATGAAAATACTCCGACGAATATCAAGGAGAAGTCTGTTGGATAGGGAGAGAAGCAAAAACATAAGAAGAGCATGCAATATAGAAGACATAAATGGATGGGTGACAAAACGAAAACAAAAGTGGAACAAACACATCAGTAGAATGGCGGAGGATAGAATAGTACGAATAGCACGAGATAAGTCACCAAATGGACGAAGAAGTATTGGCAGACCAAGAAAAAGATGTTGCGACAATTTAAACAATTTAGGAAGCTAATATTGAAGAAGAAACAGGCTTTAAAGCCTACAAACTAGAAGGAAGAAGAAGAAGAAGATCAATGTCTTCTACATCAGAAACTTTCTAATCTAATCTCGGCGGCAAATAAACCACATTAAGTGGCATTTTCACAATCTGAGTCTTCTTCTAACAAAGCTATTAACTCTTTAGTAGTTAGTGCCATCTTCATTTCATATTTCGAGAAATTACTGAAATAAACAAATGCACTGCTATATAAACACATTCATATGATAATAGTTTAGCTTACTTCATTTTAATTTATATGAACTTCATAATATATTTTCATATTTATGTAAACGAATAAACACAACAAACTTTCAAATTAAGTTTAAAAAAAAAACAAATATAACGTTTACAGCACACAGCAATTCTATAAATAGAGAATGATGTGTAATGATGTGTAATTAAAATTGCAGATTGTTTTTAGTCTAATGAAAAAAAAAATATTTTCCAAAGTTTTCTGTTTTTTGAAGTTCTGTATTAGATACTCTCTAATAAGAATAAAATTTTATTTTATTTTGTTAGACAACTATAAGATACCTGTTAAAAGAGACATGATAATTTAATAATTAAATCGGTCTTAGATTTAATTTTTACGTAATTACTTATGTGTTTAAATAAATAATTAAAAATTTTTTTGGTACGCCTCTGCAAAATTGATAATTTCAATACGATTTCGTTGAAAAGTTATCGTTAAGGGCTTCGTTAAGTACGATGTTGCCAAGTAATCACCTTCAATTAAAAATTGTTTTAGTATAGTAGGACTACTAGTTGGATATTCGTTTCCACTCACGCTCCGACTTGCTATCCAACAAGCGGTCCAACTTCAGTTCAACGTGAAATAAATTTAATTTCTAACTAATATTCAGGCTTATTTCCAATTAAAATAGTAAATTTGCATAAGATGCCACAAGAAAATAACTTCGGAAAAATATAAGGAATCAGTTACGTCTAATTTCAGTACAACTATGATTTAATTTTCGTATTCGTTGATAATTTTTCCGTAGCCAATCCGAAGTGTTGGAAATTGTACCTGTATGGGAATGTCCGAAATAGATCTACAGAAAGGAAAATGATTTACTCTAACAAAAAGGTAATTTTCGTACAATTGAAAGTTTATTTTCTATTAAATATTTGCGAGCTAGAGATCTTTGCGTAAAGTATTTCATATAAATCTCATACGTAACAGGTGCCGAAGGTAAACTGACCGAGGAAATTTTCGATTCGACCATTTACTTCACCATTCACGCTCCGACTTCGTCGCCAGTCGGAAGTCGGACCTTCAAGTCTTCCCTCTAGATGTTCCGACTCGTACCACTAGTTGTCCAACTAATCCAACCAGCCCACTCACGGTTCGATTTCAGATCCAATTGCAGAAGTTGGACCACTAGTCGGACTAAAAGTCGGAACGTGAATGGTCTCTCTAATATGCTAATGTGGCATGTAACGCAGTTTCTAGGTCCTCATAAAATTCGTCAATTTCTTCATCTGAGTGGGTAGTCGTTGAAGCATATGTCTGGATTACCTTTTGAAAAAGACATTTATCGACAATGAAATATGGAAACGGAATCGGGAAAAATATAAACGGGAAAAATAAGCAACGAAAGTTAAAAAAAGTTTTTTAGATAAAATGGAAAATGACAAAGCAACGGCAACCACAAGGCATGGAAAAGGAAAAGAAGAAGAAAACAGTACAAAAAAAAATAAAAACAGTCTAGCAAAGGAAAATATATACAGATAGGAACGTGGATATCAGAGGATCATTTGATTTGAGGAAGGAAATCTAAAACACTTGGCAGCAGAAGTAAATAAATACAAAGGGTATCCTCCGTTAAGAGAGGCAAAATATCCCCATTCCCAGAATTAAACTTTTTTCATTTTCCGTTCTTTGTGATTAAAAAATAAGGATCAGCGCAATTTCAGCCCGATACCTCGCTCCCCGCTCCCCCTACTCCCAAAAACTTTTGGTTTTTATTCTTTTTAGGAGGGATGCAATTATTTAAAAAAAAACTTACATGCATAGTTGAGGCTTTTACAAAATTTACAATATTGTCCATAACTATCACACTGCCCGGTGTTATATTGGGAAGTATTGTATTTTAAACCACCCTTCGAATATATTAAAATTCATATTCTGATGATAATCTACACTACATTTTTCTATTTTTTTTTTTTTCGCAAAGGGTAGCCTCTTACTTTCCATAATAGCCACGCGTTTATCAACAATTTTGTATTTGAGCCCAAGTTTTTTCAGCCGTTTACGTAAAGTGGTTTTAGGGCAGCTTCTTCCCATCACAACAAGCTTTGTTACTATAATATCAATTGTTAGTATTATATATTTTTTGTATTCCTCGTAAACCAAATTCCTTAAACATTTAGCAGTCACATTATTAATTTGTTTAGGTTTTCCAGCATCCGATCTTGTTTTTCTCTTTTTTAACTTTTCACGATGCTGGCCGCTGGAAAAGGCCTTTTCTTTTAATACTGCCTTTACAACTATTTTCAGGATCATTTTAAAGATTTTTGTAAACGTTCATACAAATTCTCTTAGATTGTTCATTAAAAAAAAATCCTTTTCTTTGTAAGTCTTAAACACCTTTCTACAGCTACAGTCTCAACGTCGTAAATCAATCAGTTTAAAACTTAAAAATTGATACTTGGGCATTAGTACAGTTAAAATTAACGAAATATTAAACAATATAATTGAAACTTTTTTCTACTTTTAAGACAAAAAACAACTTAATTAGCGGAACGTAATTTATAATTATTCTGCACATTATATTTAAAGCATTATTTGAATAAAATATCTCATTTTTGGTGGTAAAAATATATTAAATACATATATTAATTTGTCTGGACTAAAGGTGGTAAAAGATGGTCTGGAAGTTATATATTTTTTTTGCATTTGCCGACGGAGGATAGATAGTTGGCCTCAATTATACCCAAATAGGAATAGGAAAGTGGTACTAGGACACCCAAACACAAAAATTTGCAGGGAAAAATTTTTTCAGATTTTGGAAGAACTTCTTATTTTTAATTTATACATACTAAGTTTTGTAGAAAAATGTGTTAAAAACAGTAAACTATTGACATTTATACAAAATCTGTGACAAACCGACAATTTATGAAAAAATATACGCGGTAAAACTGAATTATAAATATATTGACAGTTCTTACCTGAATTTTGTCTTCTCTTATTAAGGTATTTTCCTTAAATACATGTATGTTGTAGGCAAATATTATACAATTTAAACAGACATGATTGAAGTAGTCATTTTCGTCAATCTAAAAGTATTTAGAAATTTATTTTTACAAAATTTAATTATCAGAAATTTTATTATAATCTACATTTTTAAATCTACGTTTTCAATCACAATACGGTAACCAGTTCTGCTACGAGTGCCTTCAAACATGTAAATACAGATAGCACTTATGATGGAATAGTTATCTCCAAAACGTTCTGTGATGTAGCCCGATAGGGTTTTTATATTAATATATCTTTTATAAAAGATTTTTTTAAATAAAATGTTTTGTGATTCATGGTATACACCCAACTACAGGAATTTAGTTTTCTTGTGGATATTCAATACTCCTAGCTCTGTTATTGCCGTGATTTTTCCTCACATTACAATTATGAGGAATTATGGATTGATTTATTATTGCAGTTTGATCGTTTTTCTGACCTACCTTTATAACTCTATTATATTTACCCATATCCTTAAGATTAAAGTCAACATTAATAATAAAATCAAAATTATCAAAAGTTCTCATAAAAAAATCAACATTACTTCTGTTAACCGTAATGTCTTCTTCAATTGCTGTTTTCATTTCATTTTCTCTCTATGCTGTTTTCATTATTTTCGGTGTTCTTTCTGTAGTAAGGTCCATTGATTACTCTTTCTCCGAGAGGGATCTATCATTATATTTTCTACTTATTCTTATACGGCATTTTTTGACCATTCTCTCTTGCTTCTTTTTGTTATTTGCGAAGTTCTTTGAATTTTTATGTCTTTTGGTTAGTCTTCATTTATAAATATGATTATATTTGTTTCTTTGAGGACCTTGTTCTTTTTACTCTAATTTTTGAATTCCACGGGGATTGATCTTTGCTTATTAATATTTAGGATACCAAGTCTTCGTATTTATTTAATATCTTGACCTGTATTTAGTTCTACTTGCAATTTCCTACAATTTCTGATCTAAATCAGTAGATGTGACAGTTTCGTTCTGGAGCGGAAGTGACCTGTCACTCTAGGCCACGCCCCCTGGTGACGTAGGAACGTCCATCTTGCCTTAAGGCCACGCCCTCGGCCAATGGTGACATAGTCACGCCTCCTGATGACGTAGGAACGTCCATCTTGTCTCAAGGCCACGCCCTCGGCCAATGGTGATATAGTCACGCCCCCTGATGACGTATGAACGTCCATCTTGTCTCAAGGCCACGCCCTCGGCCAATGATGACATAGGTACGTCCCTCGTGTCTCTAGGCCACGCCTCTCGACCAATGGTGTCATAGGAACGCCTTCACGTAAACGCCTGACCAATGGTGGTGCAGGAACGTCCCCACTCGTGACTTTAGAACATATCCTCGACCAATGGTATCATAGGAACGCCTCCACGTAAACGCCTGACCAATGGTGGTATAGGAACGTCCCCTCGTGACGTTAAAACATATCCTCAACCAATGGCGGCACAAAAACGCCCCACTTGTGACGTTAGACCATATCTTCGACCAATGACAGCCCAGAAACCCCCACTCGTGACGTTAAAAAAACATATCCTCGACCAATGGCGGCACAGAAACGCCCCACTCGTGACGTTAGACCATATCTTCGACCAATGGCAGCCCAGAAACCCCCACTCGTGGCGTTAAAAAAACATATCCTCGACCAATGGCGGCCCAGAAACCCCCACTCGTGACGTTGTAACATATCCTCGACCAATGGCGGCACAGAAACGCCCCACTCTCGACGTTAGAACATATCCTCGACCAATGGTGGCATAGGAACGTCCCCTCATGACGTTAAAACATATCGCAATAAGTTGAGGAGTCTGAGTATCCAGGGTAAACTTTTAGAATGTTTGTTGTCCTACCTAACTGAAAAAATACCAATAGTATGTGTTCAGGGTTTTCAATCGTTTGAGATTAAGGTACTTTCAGGAGTACCACAACGATCACACCTAGGACCTCTTCTATTCAATAACTATGTTAATGACATTGCCTTCTGTTTCCTCTTTGCTTCTTTCCTAATGTTTGCTGACGGTTTAAAATTATATTTGACAATTTGAGAATGATGGTTTCGTTTCGTTTTCATGTTTTGTGAGGGCGGTTGAGTTTTTTTTTGTCATATATGTGGGAACGTATTCTTGAGTTAAGTAGCTAACTGGTTTGTCCAATATATAGTCCGTCACAATTCGAGCAGGGAATTTCATACACAAGATGCGATTTTTTTAATAGATGGGTTTTTGTTTTTAATCTTGTAAAATTCTTTAGCTACCGTAATGTTATGTTTAGACAGAAGATTTGCAATTTGTTCTGATAACCCTTTTATATAGGGGAGACATGTAGTTTTTCTTTACCATGTTGGTTTCATTGTTGTTATTGTAATTGTAAAGTTTATGCAGCCGCGATTTGAAAGTGTTGTCGATAAGGTGGTGTGGGTATGAATTAAGTGTTATGCTTGGTAAGTCAAAAGTTTCACTTTTAAACCGTATTGTGTCTTTGATAAAATATTGTTTTAGTCAATATTACTTCTTGAAATAGTCATGGATTTCCTGCCGAAACGTCGAAAAAAATGAAAATATGAAAATGTCTTAGTATCAAAACAATTTTTTTATGAACCTAAGCCCAAGAAAATCCACTAATATATATATATATATATATATATATATATATATATATATATATATATATATATATATATACAAGAGCGAGCAAGGAAGAAGAGAAAACTGGGGGAGGCCATCCATCACGACCAGATATAGAAGGTGAGTCACTGGTTGTGACAAGAGTGGAATAAACCGTAGAAAAATATTTTGCAAAGAGATTTACAACAATATCTGGTCCTTGACTGCATTCAACAACTTCATACCTCAACACAGCGGCAAGGACGGCTTTCCCCTCCGTGAATTCATAAACGCCCAAAATTCCTTTAAGTTATTTCTTAGTAATTATTCTGTTAAATAAATATGATTTCCGTAACCTTTAACATTAACAATTTACAGTTGACCCTCAGCTGAGAAAAAGTCAGCTAATCCAGAAGTTTGATGATTTCCGTAGCCTTTAACATTAACAATTTACAGTTGACCCTCAGCTGAGAAAAAATCAGTTAATCCAGAAGTGATTTATATAAAAGATATTTTTTGTGAGCATTCTTTTTCTCAACTATCAAGTCCTTCAAATTTAAAGAGAACCAAGAAGGGAATCCATGCTTTGAATACCTTTTTAGGGGGATAAATAATTCTATAGCTAAGTAAACTATATCATAAAAAATATTTACAATTTGATTCAGTGGTTTTCTTAAAAATAAATTAACAAAATTCCAACTGACAAAAATTGGTTATTATCACATAGTCAGCCAACTTAAAGTCCCTATAGCAACCATCACTAATCAACCCACTATCATTGGGGCACCTTTTGGTCATCTTTATCACAAATTCTATACTCTCCCTCAGCTGCAGCAGTTCTGTACCCTCCCCCATTATCAACCAGCACCAAGTCGAGAATATTACCAGTTGCATTCACAATAGCAATAAACTGAAACGGAATTGCAACGGACTGAAACAAACAAGTAAACATACACAAGTAAGCACACATACCAGACACAACATGCAGGGTTTTATCTTCAGATGCTGTGGCAGCTGGTAGAATAATTGTTGTAGAGCACATATTATTTGAAAACCATTTACGAAGTCAGCAGCCAGATAATAGTGTGCCTCTTCAATAGATAATCTTCAGTTATTTGTTTTAGAGTTTCACAAAATATGGAATACTTGTCAAATGTACACATTGGGGGACAATATTATGCTGTTCCTATAATAAACTGATTTGCACCTTCAGCCACCAAGACAAAAGTTGTTCTATTGTCTGGTTAACTGTTAAAACATTTACTGCTTAAGCTCTTATGAACTGCAATAAGGATTCTACCACCTCTTAACAATGAACTTGTTTTCCTGGAGTGATCAGTTCTATATTATGTTGAGGTTTTCATCAGCATAGTTACATGTCAACTAAGTCTTGTTGAATATGATAATACTGTAATGATAATAGGATACATTCATAAATAAACTGTCAAGCTTAGTTCTTAGATCTCCTACATTTTGAAAATAAACCCACAGTCCAGGTGAAGACTGTGATAGTTTTTTGATATTATTCTAAGAGTGCAGTGGCGCACCGAGGGGGGGTTTTGGGGGTCAACCCCCCCCCCTCAGGACCCTATTATTTACAAATTTTAAGGACAAAATGGTGGAGGTAGCATAAAAAAATTTCGGTGACCAACCAAAACCCCCCCAGAGGACAATTCTAGGTGTGCTACTGTAAGAGTGCCATTTAAGTACTCTACAAATAAGTTTTGTTTGCCTTTTCTCTCTCTTTCTGTAAGTTCACTATGGATAGTGTTTAATGCAATTCTCTGGTGTGGGTGAGATCTTAATCGATAAAAATCTTTAATGACCTGTCAATATTTCTTCTGTTTCTGAGGATTGACAGCTGGTCCTGATGGTTACGAAGGACTATTGTATATGAACAGTATCCATTTTTGTTCTTTTTTCCAATTAGTGAAGCCTCAACAAGGCATCTGGCTTTGCTTAAATTGTCATACTCAGGCATTTTAAAAATCATAATGTTGGATCTTTTCTGTCTCTTGAACATTCCACTAAACACTGATTAGTCTGTTGTATTTTTTTCCATGGGACCAGTTATTTTATGCATTCTTATATCTTTCAGACTGGATATTTCAGATTTAAGTTCAATAAAGCTTGTCTGAAAAGAACTGTTCAAAGATTCCAGCTCACTTCAAAGGTACTTTATTTGTTTTATCATGTCCATGGCCAGCTTATTAGTGACCTTTATGCATGCAACTTTGTTCTCCAAAACACGTACTCATACTGAGAACCAAATAAAATTCTTAATTTTGACAGTACAAGCCTTGTACACATATGGTATTATTCTACTGGCATAACTGTTGCTCTGATTTCTATAACACTTACATTGGAACAATTTCTACACAATACCAACTTGAAATAATCGCAAGAAAAACCAAAGATATGGTGGTTCCTTAAAAATGCATGATTAATTGCATCTCTCACATGTGCCTTACATAATAGGTTATGATTTTAAAACTGCACAAAAACAAGAAATATCAAATGTTGTAATCACACAGTTAACTTCAATTGTATGGATAGGAAACAAGAGAAAGAACCAATTTAGGCTGTTTATACAATAAAATGCACCTTTTACATTAATTAAATCACCCAAAAATTCTTCCAACAAAAACATAAACAATCAACAATATTGTTCTGAAGCTATTTTCTTGTGGCATTTTAAAGTAATTATTACTTAAATGGGAATGACCCAATATTAAAGGTTAAAGTATGTTTATTGACATTTCAATTACCACTTCGGAACTTTCCCCAAAGTGGAAAATAAACATACTTTAACCTTTAATTGTGGCTTATTCCCATTTAAGTAAATAGTAATTATAATCAACGATATTTTTATATTTTGCAAGTTTCGTTGTTTCCTTGCTTGTTTGTATTAGAAATTTAGTTTTATCTATGTTGATAGCTATCCCTATTTCTTTCAATTTTCCTTCAAGCTCCACAGAAACTCCCGTAATGTCTCTTGCAGTTTGTCACATCAAGTTTATATTGCCTGCATACATTACATCATGTTTAGAATTAAGTACTAAACAATAGATTTTTTGGGTTTACAGACATTTTTCTTATAACATATTTCATATATATGTTAAACAGAGTAGGAACCACTCCATCTCCATGGTTTGGCATCTTAATTATCTGGAAGGGGTCTGTCAGTTGATTTTGAACTTTTACTTAAATAGTAAACCATTATTAAACTACTACAACAAACATCCGCTAATACTAAGAAGGTATATGGATTTCGTAAAGTCAACATTGACTATATTAAAAATTTAAATTGCCAGATAATAATTACTAGTCACATATTATATTTATTACTTGACTAATCACTTTAGTGTTATCTGCTTCATGGTCAGTAATTACCTTTGATTTACGGGTGCAAATAATTTTAATTTTAAATCAAACTTGAATACTTTCTATGGTAAGTTTATATGTATGCCCACTGAAAATCTTACTAATAAATAGGTATATACATTTATTTAACTGCATTTACTAAACCTACCTTAACTCCTATGGTAACTTCAATTAATTTTCGTATTTTCCCATCCTGCTTTCTTACTAAAGTAATTAAACATGATTTTGCAGAGCATAACCTGCATTGTTTGGAAGTATCTTCTGAAAATTCATTCATATTTTTCAATAAAATAATATTACAATAGACGTAACATTAATATATAAATTTGATTAAAATTAAAATCTTATTAAATGATATTATACTGATTGTTTTTATGTGAATTAATTATATACACAACCACTTTTATAAACATAACCTCAAATTATTAAAATAATCAGTGTTACCAGTGGCTGGGCATGGAAAGATGCACCTCCCTGTCAAAAATTATGCGATTTTGTACAAAATTATGCGCTCTGTTGTAACCTTACTGTCATCTGTCACGTCCTGTCAGTTGTCATTGTAAAGGCCGTATGACAGTATGCATTTTCTTGTATCATGTGTTATATCGTTTCTGATTTACTAAGTTATTTATGTTTTCTTGTATCTAAGTCTTGAATATAAAATTTTCTTCGATAAATAATTTTTATTTGCTAAAGATAATGCTGTGTCACCGAAGAAATAACAATTGTTGGTTGAGTTTACCGAAAGTACAAGCTGATTATAGCCACAAATGTCAAACATAGAACAAAAACTTTCTCTAGTCTATAGCAGTGTTGGCATGTTTTTGTAAATGTAGATGCTGTATACTTCAAATATAAAAAGATAAAGCTTTAGAAAAGTACATTTTGTTTATATTATGTTATGAATTCTGCAATTTTTGATTTATATAAAACAACAATGAGTAAATATTTGTTTCTTTGGAGATTTATTGCAGTTAATAATTAGAAATTTTTTTAGCAATTACCCTTTGATAGGTTAGAGGATAGATTTGGCAATCGTCAAATCAGCAGTTGTGAGATTACAAAAAAAATTGCAATTAATCTCAAAAAAGACAAATATCTACTCGTTATTGCTTCATGTAAATTAAAAATTGCAGAATTCATTAAATGGTATAATCAAAATGTACTTTTTAAAAGCTTTATCTCTTTATATTTGAAGCATACAACATGCGTTATAAAAACATGCCAACACTGCCAAACCGAAATATTTTTGACATTTGCGGCTATATTCAGCTTGTACTTTCGGTAAACTCAACCCAATTGTTTATTATTTTGTGGCTGTGTAAAATGTCAGCACAAACGCTTTCTTTTAAAACAAACAAGAAGACGAGTACTCTTATTATAAACTGGCTTGTCATTGGTTTTTTTTGCTTTGCTGGATTGTGCGAAATTATGTGATTTTATGCAGGATGCGAAAATTATGCGCCGGCAACTAAATTATGCGCAAATCGCATAATTATGCGCCGATTGGCAACACTGAAAATAATAATCAAACAAAACATCGTGATATGAACCGGCTTCTTCGGCGTTGCCAACTCTATTTTAATTAGAAGCTGTTATTGTTATATTTATAGTAACAGCCATGAGATTAATTTAGAACATTAAAAAATTATAGTACAACAAATGAGAACGAACCCCGGCTTTTTTTTATGCATAATTGGTTTCACTTTTACCAAAGAATATAGATGCTTTTACATAATAAAAGAAAGATATTGGTTAAGGCATTCAAATAGGTAGCTTTGGTCTCGCTGATCAAAAGTTCTTGTTCTCTCAAAATTGAGATCATTACTAGTATGCCCGCCAATGATAAATATAAAATTATTAAGTGAAGACTTGGGACCAGAAGGGGACAAGCGAAAAACCCACAATTTCGTCAAAAATGAGTTAGTTAAAGTTGAAATCGCACACTGACACTGTAAGACCATTATAATCTCCCAAACAGAAAAGTTCAGCTATTCTCTCATAGGTGGCGCTGCTGCAGTAAAGGCATCGAGCAATAAGACAAAAGAGGGAATCTAATCCTTATGAAAAGGAGAGCAAAAAAGTGGCCTCTGATGGCGGACATATCCGGAAATGCGAATGCGCCAAATTTAAATTTTCCGACACTTATCAACAGTAGCTATGTAATATTTTTCAGAATGTGTCTTAGACGAGAAAGTTTTAATTAATTATTAATAAAATGCGACACAATTGTTAAAAAACTTCAATATAAATAAGATTTCATGTGACATTTGAGACAAACAATAACATAACCCAACTAAATTTGATGTCAAACAAGGAGAGAGACTCTCTTTCCTTGTTTAATGTGGCCTCTAAAGATCGCACTTCCTGTCTAACAATATGTTTGCCCCCACTACCTTTACTTTCCCTCCTTTGTCTTTTTGCTCGATGAGTAAAAGTATCTACCCAGAAAAAGGACCATCGTCCTTTTTTGTACCAAGAATCGAGGATCGATCGATGGCTTCCCACGGTTTTTGGATATTTACCACATCCTTTGCCTCACTTCGCTTTTCCAAGTATTTCAATAGAAGTATCTCTAATGATGCTGATCATCTTTTTTCAAAAGTCTTTGTTCAAAAACATTTTTTTACTACCTTAGCTCTGAATAGACCTTCTTTCTCATCTTTTAACGTTCATCACTTCATTCAGTAGTGCAGTGAGTAGTGACCTGAAGAAGATGTCAGAGAGGATGTCGAAAGCTCGGCACAGTGACAATGGACTCGGTTCAACCCGGAAGTCTGGTGAGTTTAATATTAATTTTTGTAATAATATTAATCTCACTAGTAGGTTTAATATGTATATATATATATATATATATATATATATATATATATATATATATATACATATATATATATATATATATATATATACATATATATATATATATATATATATATATATATATATATATATATATATATATATATAAATTTATAAAAATGATTGTAATAAACATTTTTAATAAAGTGTTTTTAAAAAGTCAAAGAAAAAATAAGTGATATAAAAATTAGCGCAGTCAGTAGGATCCGGATAACGTTGATAGAACAAGGAATCTAACTAGACACGGCGGATTCCTATCCCTTAACGGAAAAAGAATCTATAAGCCGTCCTCATTCAACAGGATTCTACGCAAGGAACAACCAGTGAAGCCCCTGGTAGCAGATCTTGATTGAAAACAAGACGACTTCGATGCTTCTGTTAATGTAATTGAATCATCTCGTTTTGATATTTCAATATTTGCAACAATATTTTCATATAAAATTGACTTCATAGACTTCAAAATTGACAAATTTGATTATCTAATAAGGAAATATTTTATTTTATTGTATTGCTATATTTCACTGTTCGTATTTTTTATTTACTTCGTTTCATATCATTTTTATACTTTGTTTACTTTGTTATGCTCTGTTTTCATAACATTCCCATTAACATTTTAAAATGCCTGAAACACGCTCCCAAACTTAAGCGGAAATCGGACCATGTAAACTTTCCGAAATATTTTCTATAATTTCTGAGTTCGAAGGAGACCCAACCTCTCTTCCAACATTCATAGATGCATATGATTGTGTATACCTATACTCCAAGTACCTATACTCGACAACATCCTATCGGGCGCGATTACAAATATTAGATTTGTGTGAATCATTAATGGAAAGCTATATATTTTTTAAAAAAATACCTCAATGACATTTTAAACGCCATTGCATTTTCTCGCTTGAAAATCTTACACAGTTCAATTATTTCCTCCAAATACTTAATGGATTCCCTAAAGATAATCTCACAATCATTACATTAATGTATTGCCTTTGCCCATTTATACATCAAATACAGCCCAGTATATTGACAAAATAAAACTCCAAGCATATCAACTTGATTTAAAAATTGTATTCGTCCTTGCCGTCTCATTAGTCAACCACCAAATTTATACCCTATATCATCTATATTCGATACCAAAATTAGATAACCAAACTGGCCTGTATCATATATCATATATCTACTTATATAAATATATAGCGCGAGTTGATGATTCAATTTCATATATCTTACCCCAAAATATAGGAGAATGCAAACCAATTAGCCAAACCCAAAGAATGTGTTCAGACATTCTTCCGTATCCAATAGACAGCGACGCCATGTATGAAGCCCAGCTGTTAAAACCAGTTAGCATTTTACCAAAAACTTATCAGATTTCAACATTTTTAGCACAAGGTTACAATGTCCAAGAAATTGATCCAAATTTATCGTTAATAACAGTTTCCGATCCATTACCAGTTACTATTAGTGTGGAAGAAAAGACATCACTACTCAGATCATCAAATTGTAGCGTTTTAAATTTTTTTAACCATGAAATATTTATGTTTAAAATTTTGTAGTTTACCCCTGAGCTTTATATAAATATTTTTGTCTTTATTCACATTTAAATCCACCAATTCTCTGTATACATTGTGAGGTAGAAGATTTCCAAATTCCGGTTATAACTAGGGCGTTAAAATAATCAAAATAATAAGTGTTTTTTCTACGAATTTAAAAAGGAGTTTGTTTCAACCGAAGAAAAAGTCTAGTTTATGACCTGTCAATGAAGGACAGAATTGTACAGAAATATGTCAGACAGAAAGCACAAGAACTAAGAAAGGAAGGGAGAAAAGTGAAAGTAGGATATAAGAAAATATATTCCGATTAGGAAATATGGTGCTGGGATGGCATGAACCAAACGTTGGTGGTAGAGATCAAAGCGAAAAACTAAGCACCAGCATGAAAAGGAAAGTAATGAAGACGAACAATGCGAAGAAAAGGATTACGAACTATGAAAACGAAACAAAACAAGATAGTAATACAAAAGTAAAGCCGAAGAATGACAAGATACATTTATCTACATGGAATGTCAGAGGAACCTTTTATGAAGGTGCGCTAAAAGAACTAATGAATGAGGCAAGGAAGTATAAAATCGATTTATTGGCTCTTCAAGAGACAAAACAATTAGGATCGGAAATAACTGATATAGAAGATATGGTGCTTTTCATAAGTGGAGGTAAAGATAGAATGCTTGGAACTGGTTTTTTAGTAGTTGAATGTATCAAGGACAAAGTGATCGCTTTTAATCATATCTCTGATAGAATGTGTTCAATACGAATTAAAAGTAAGAAAAGAAATTGGAGTATAATTAATATCCATGCACCGTCAGAAGACAAAGACGACGAAATAAAAGAACTTTACTATGAACAGCTAAATGACGAATACGAGCGCGAGATTGTAATGTATGTAATGCAAGAAGTATGAGAGGAGCTGAAATCGACTCGGACCATTACCTCGTTAAAGTTACATGTGGGAGGAGGCTGGAAGAAAAAGAGAAATCGAACAATAAAACGAAGAAAAAGTG